TCCACAAAGTTCTGTTTCCTGCTGTGGCTGATGATTTTGATTGTTTTTCAGGTATCAGAGGCTCAACCTCAGTGTAAATTTGAGTCAGACACAGCAAATTCCTCCATTTTTATAAATAAAGTTAATTAAAAAAATCTTAATTTTCAAGAGCAGGCAATTCCCTACGTTACAGCTAGACAGTAACCCTGCTGTCAGCACTAGTGCTTGGAAATCTGAGCAGCACACCAGTCATGTGCTTCTTTCTAAAGGACATTTGCAAAGAGGTTTTGGTTTGTTTGTTTGTTTTAATAGAGTTTCCTTTGGTCTGGAGTATTTCTACCATTAGCTTCATAATTTAATAGGCACCAATGTTCTCTTTTGCTTTATTTCTTTAGTAGCCCCCATGGATTAGGATTGTAATGTTCTTGGAGGGGAAAAAAATCAATATAATGTTATAAAGTAGCACAAATGTAATAACATTATGGGATGAACAATGAGCTTTATCCTACCCAAAACTGCTGCAGAACTTTTTTTTAATATCTCCCTACCCATCCCAATAATGTGTTTTTCTAACTCTACAATGGTCTGTCTATGTAACAAAAGTACAGCACTGGAGCAGTAATTGACCCATTAGCTGGCTACCCTAAGAAAACTACCAAAAACTGATGTTAGCTCCCACCATGAAAAAAAAAAAATCAATCTTCTAATGTGATTTTTTTATAGTCAATTATCACTAAAATATATTTTTCAGTTCTCCCATATAATGTATATTACTGGCTATATTCAGGGGGGAAAAGCCAACACAGAGAAATTACATCATCCACTGCTGTTGCCCTGACTTATTGACATCATTTGTATTGAAGTCTAATCTAATAGATCCGAAAGGAAACATGACCCTGTAGTGTTAGGCACTGTACAAAGAGATCTTCAGGTATAGTTTACTCCCAGAATAGACCAAACAGACAAGGAAAGGGGGTGGAAACAAAGACACAAAAAGCAAAAAGGAATTTCCGAAGAGTCATATCAATAGTAGCACTACAAACAGAAGCCAGAATTCTTATTTCCAGCGTCTTGTGCCCTATCCATTGCACCCTACTAACTTTCCTAAATTGGTTGTCAGTTCTCTTATGCATAAATAAAAACTCCCATATTTCAGTTTTATGATCCCAAATCTCTATCACCTTGCAACTAGCATAGCTATTGTTCTGGGGGTAAATACATTCCTGATTATATGCAGCATATATGGGGAGATATTTCAGATAGCTTTAATAAACCAGTAAGTTATTTTCAAAACTAGGCATCTGAAACAATAGAGGCCACCACTCCAAACACAGGCATGTGTCACCATTCAGAGCAAAGGCACATGTAATTTGTGTGTCAGCCCCAAAATCTGTTTATCCCTTGTCTAATCTAGGTGCTGTTGGAATGAGAATAACTAGTTGCAATTAAGCAGGGCTGAATCAAGAGAAACAACTGATCCACGTCATTAGTTCTCCTAAAGAACCAATTCTCAACATCCCAAATTTAGCTAACTGCTTGGGTTGAAAAGGAGTCTTAGCTCTCCTAATGATTTGCCACCTTGGTATTCTCTCGCATGGTGGAATATTCCTCTCATGTGTAGTCAATGCTTTGGTGGGTAACACTGTTTCTCAGGACATGGCAAAAAAGATTAGTCAAAGACAGCTACTGATAGAGAGTTTCTCATATCTCTTTTATATTAATTTTTAAATGACAATACAGTGATTTGATATTAGGGCATCCAAGGATCCTTTGAAATCTACACATTTATATGATTAGTGTTTATAATAAAATAGTCTCAGCTTCCTTTTAAAATGCTTCTGAAATGACTAAGTTCCGTGTTTCTGCACACTCATCCCTGAGTAATACTAAGACTTCTTTTAAGATGTAGTATTTTAAAAAGGAAAGATAAAAATCCATTCTTCACCCAGAACATATATGATATTCAGGCCTCTAGCAACAGTGATATTAATGTTCAGACTATATACCTACCCATGAAAAAGTGATTTTAATGAAATGTTGGACATAATTATATGAACAGAATTCCTATAAGAATATGGTTTCTGGATTTAATTCCAAAAAGTTGCTTGGATTAATATTCTCTGTATTAAATGTAAAAAGAAATCAAGTCAAAACTGGCCATAGTTTCAATTCCTTACTATACACTATAGATGGAATTTACAAAGAGTCATAGATTCAATTGACTTTAATAGGTTTTGGATTAAGTCCTTTTTCATTATTCGCGAAAGCCACAGAGGAATTTAGACATCCAGTTCCCATCAATTTACATGAGAACTGAGCATCAAGTCCATTAAAAAAAACTTTGAAAATCCTAACAGCCAGCCACAGGCAGCATAGATTCACACACAGGCAAGTGAGGCCCGGGCCCAAGGACTCCTGCCAAACAAGGGCCCCCAGATGCCTAGCCCTTTTTTTTTGTTGTTGTTTTTTGTTTTTTGTTTTTAACTTGTAGCCAAGGCCAAACTAGCCAAAACTAATTCCATATCCAAGAGTCCACAACCATAAGTGGTCCTACGACAGGCAAACATCTTCCACCCACCTCTGGGGCCTCAGATTTTTCCAAAACCTTTGACAGGCATCCTACATGCAGGCCCAAGCCCAGAAGCTTGGGTTCAAATGCCCCCGAGTTTTGCTTTTCCTTAGCCATAAGGCCCTCAGAGCAAGCAAAGGATTTTTTTTTTTTCTTTTGGTAAAAATATACGTCTATATACAGTAAAAGCTCTGTCATCTGCCATTCCCCAGGAATGGGGGATGCTGGTTAATTGAGCAGCCCGAACAGGCATCCTTGCCTGTTCAGGCCGCCACTTCTCCTGCCGCGTCCAGCGCATCGCCACCCCTCCCACAGCATCACCACCCCTCCCGCGGGCCCTGTGGGCCTTGCACAGCCTGTCATGCCCCCAGGCTGTGGGGGCTTGGCAGCACAGGCTGCTTTGCCCCGGGCCATGGGGCATTGGCAAAACCTTTGCCTTACAAGCCAGCATGCTGGTTAATAGAGTATGCCAGCCTGTAAGGTGCTGGTTAATGGAACTTCTACTATATATATATATCTACACTCCTAGTATCACACATCATATTGTAACAAACCCGTTACAATATCCGTATCATGCGCAACACACACAAAACAAATAAGGAACTCCTGGCCCCTCAGACCAGGCAACCCTTCCTTTCCATCCCACCTAGCTTGTGGGGTCACATACTCAGCTCAAGTGTCCTCTCCATCATTGTTGCTCCAGCTCCCGCTAGAAGGCCCACTACTGTTGTCGCTGTCACTAGCCTCAGTTCTGCTTGTCCCTTCCTCTTCTTCGCTGCCAATGCCCCCCTCTCCACTCAGGGGACATTGGATGATTCTGTGCCACATGTCTTTGTGCCAAAGCAAGCAAGGAAGATTTTCCCTCTGGATACCCGAGTTCAACATTAGCAAGTATATAATAATTAGTCTTCAATTTTGACCCAGTTCTTATTCACTCACTGGCCATTTATGGTCAGCAATATAAAGCAAATAAGAAGATGTCTTATTTGCATATTTATTGGCATACTGCATAACAGAAAATACACAAAAAAGTATGCAAATAAGCCCTCTTCTTCTTTACTTTATATTGCTTACCATATCTTGCCAATGAGTGAGGAAGAACTGGATCTCACACTTCCCCAGCAGCAGCAGCATAGAAAGAGATTAATAGGCTCTTTTCCCTGCTAGATCCCAACTCCTGTGGGTTGAATTCCTTGTATCTCCACATACTCACTGGGAGTACTTGGCATAATATCAACCACTTCAAGTCCCTGTGGTCCTTGCAGAGGTCCTTGTGGAAAATCTGGTTCCAAATGACTTGGCAGTCCTTAATGAGGAGTGTCTTCATGGTTGATAGCCTGTTTCTGTCTCTGACTGCCTTCTGCATCTTTTTGTGGTTGGACATAGTCACCAATCTTTCCTTCCATAGCACATACTTGCTCTGGAACTTGTTCAGGACCCTGTACAACCATGGCTGCTCCATGGTCTACAGTCTCCCATTGGTTGGTGGATACACCCACCCACTGTCTCAGGAGGTGACTTGCAAAAAACTTTGCTAGGCAGGCTGTTTTAGTCTCTGGTCTGGTCACCAGCTTGCAAATCTGGCTGATGTACCATGCCCACAAGAACAGTTAGAAGTCTGGCATCTCCCTGGCCGCACCCCATTTCTTTTTGTATAGGTTCTTGCTTGCCACCTTCTCCATTTGGGATCCCCAGAAGGAGACACTCACGGCTCTCTGGATTCTGTGGATGATACAATTTGTGGGAGGGAAGACCAGTGCAGTGTACAGAAGCACTGGTAGCAACACCGCTTTTATGAGTGCCATTCGCCCACCCATGGAGACGTGATGCCTGTGCCACATACCCAACCTCTGCTTCACCTTGGCCTACTTCTCCCAAGCCCTCCTTCCACTCAGCTCCAGGTCAAATTCTACCCCAAGGATCTTGACCCCCTTACGGGGGACCAATACCCCTGGGGACTCCAGGACCCTGAGCTTGCCGACAGCTAGGCAGGTGCTTTTGCTCACATTGAGCTTGGCCCCCATGGCCACTTCGTAAATCCATGTGTGCCACAGGACATTTTCTACCGCACGCTTATTCCTGCACAGGATATTCAAATCTTCTGTGTAGACCAGGACCATGGCTTGTTGCTTACTTCTCCTGGGGATCTGGACTCCATGGATCCCAGGGTCCTGCCTGATGTGCTGAGCCAGGGGTTCAGTGGCACAGATGAAGAGGATCAGGGAGAGTGGGCAGCCCTGGTGGACCCCCCACTCTATTGCAATCCGCTCATTCAGGAAACCGTTTACCAGCACATCACTACATACATCCATGAACAGTGCCCTTATCTAGCTGGTGAAAGTTTGAGGGATGCCCATCCACTGCAGGGTCTTGAAGAGGAACCAGTGTGACACTGTCGTAGGTGTTTTCCAGGTTCAGGTTCAGCACTTCCATCTTCTGTCTGCTGTCTTGTAAAAATACAGAATGCTTCATGAATTTGCATGTTACCCTTGCACAGGGGCCATGCTAATCTTCTCTGTATCATTCTAATTTTAGTATATGTGCCCAATTGCCCTAGGGAAACCTGCCAAGAAGAAGCAGAGATTATTGACTACCTCCTATGGCACTGCCCATATGACAAGGGTGTGTGGGAAAAGGTAAGCCTGCTCCTTGAAAGAGTGACAGGAGTCAAGTTGATGACAAGGAAGGTGGAGATGTACAGACACCTGACTGAGCAGGAGGGGTCCCAGACAATGTGTTTTGACCAGTTTGTGTCCTGTATCAGGAATGAAGAGGACAGAAATGCAATTGGACCTGGAGTTGGCAAAAAGGACTACAACAGAATCAGCAGCAGAAGTGACAGAGACAGACATTGACACCAACAAGGACAGTGAATGAACTGAGAGTGTAAACCCCAAAGCAGGGCTTGGGACTAAAGGACTGCAATTGGGGTAGGTGAGGGTGGAGGATGGGTATGCAGGGGAGCGGGTGCATTTATTTTAATGGGAAGCATGAGCTTCTTAATGTGGTTTTAAGATGTGTGATGGAAAGTTTATGCTACAGGATATATATATATATAGATATATATATAGATATATATATATATTAACTCTCTCTCTATATATATAGAAATATATTTTAATAATAATTTTAAAAAAGAGCTCAGCTCCTGTGGGAAGGAACCACCCCCCTCACCCCCCCCCCCACCAAGCGGGCCACCAACAGCATTAATCTACCTCTGATAGGCAACCTTTCTATACTAAAAAAAAGCAAAAGGTAGTCAATAAGGTGCTGACATTATTGCTATATGAAAGTTAATTAGTAGTGCAAAAAAGCTAGTTTTAAGGAAAAACAACTTCCTTTCAGTTTTGCTACTGTTCTGTATACTATCCCAATCTGTGGATAATTTGCTTGGCAAGACTTTCTTTTCAACCTGAAGATTGACAATTCTATTAGCCTTTTGTGCATGTATGTGTGCTTGCAAAGGGAAGGAAGCACACTTAAGAAACAAAGCACTGAATAAGCATCTTTGTGCTTAACTAGCAGAAGAAGAATGGGAGAAAAAATACTACAAGAAAAAGCAGGGGAAGGACAGACATAGGGCTTCCATAACAGCAAAACGGTTATTTATTCAATAATGGTTTTGCAGTTCTTAAGGGAACTGTTTGAAGAATAGAAACCTTGACTTAGTGTGTTGTTGTAAATCACATAATTGGCAAAACATTCCATTAAGTGGTGTGAATTATACTGTAACTGCCTCGTAACCAAGCATTCATTCCCTCTTTACAGCACGTGGACTGGCACAGCATCTTCAGTGCTTCTGTGAGAGTGACTATAATTATATATTTGTCCTTGACTCTGGTGCAGATATGAATTTGCAGTTACATAATTCTCAAACAATTACACTGAAGTTACACAAATATCATGAACCAAACACTCCTCCCAGTTTCACCACAGTAAATCTGATATAACTCTGAGGAAGTCTTTGGAATAGCTCTGGACAAAAAGGCTGCATCCAAACAAGCGTAGCCATACAGTATGTGGTGCCATAGACATGTCTGCAGCACCACATACTACACATTCAGCTGTTCTCCGCAGTGACCCCTGCATATCCAGGGGTCAAAAAAACCTGCGCAAAAAAAAAGTGAAGTGGTGCACACTGGAGCAGCACACACCACTCAAAATTGGAGCCTGTCTACCCAGAGCCACGCTCCGTCTGCCAGCCAGATTCTGAGCAGTAGGATTGCCACTGCTGCCATCCCAGGAAGCACCTAGGACTCCAGGTAAAGCTGCTAGGGCTACCCCAGTGCTGGCCCCGGCCTCCCCTAGCCCATCCAGGGTAACCTGCTGCACACCAGAGGGCACATGGCACAGGCATTGCCCGGGCACAACTAGTAGCAGCACAAGGTGTGCCACTGCTAGTTGTCCCCAGGGAACCAAAGGTCCACATTCATGTGGATGCAGCCAAAGTCTTCAGAAAGCAGAAGTTGGTCCAGGTCTGTAATAAAAAATCCCTTTTAGTTCACTTTCCACAGAGAGCAGTGACAAAGTAATTAGTGTCACTTAATGCAAAACATCACTAGTCAGTAAATTACTTCACAGAAACCATTGTCCTTAATTGTTCGGCTTTATCAAATGAACCATCTTTAGTAGTCAAAATATGTCCTTGAAGTTGCGTTCAAAATTTCTCTTTAATTCATGATTTCTCTCCTACACCCCCACTCTTACCCAGTCCCTCCCCTCTGCCTGGGCTTGTTGCATTTAAAAACAGATCTGTCAAGGAACCTCATAGAACTAAGTTACATAGAATGAAGTTTTCCCACTCCAATATCCCCTTTTTTGCGTGGCTTC